AGACAAGGAACTTTTCGTCAGCTGGGAGCCGAAGATGTTTCATAGACATGGCGCCTCTCCGAAGGGGATCGATACGTCCCTCACTGACAAGACAATTTAATGTCGCCTGAAACTGACTTCTTATGCCGGAAATAATGTAGTTGCAAACGAAAATGATATCGGTCAGATTGCGTACTGGAAAGTCCAGGAAGCAAACTGAAGATAATCTGTTTGTGGATAATCATGTCTTTTCACAACTTCATACTGTTTATGTTGCTGAACTATTCTACTGATTGCGACAAATACACTCATTTGCAAATCAATTTGGTTTTCACGGGAGACTCAAGTGAATCTCCCGTTTATGATGAAACTCTGGGACTGCGCCTACCCGATGAGCCCCAGGAAGGGCGAAACCGGTGGTGGGCTGTCGAAGAGTTTTCAGCAACAATTGTGAGTAGTTTCCTTTATGAAAATACACTGCGGTATCTCGAATATCGTGCCACCTGAATGATGAGGCGGCCTGTGTGCAGCACATTCAGTTGGAGGACATCATAAGCGAGAGATTCACTTGAGTCTCCCGTGAACTCCAAATTGATTTGCAAATGAGTGTATTCGTCACTATCAGGATACATACTTTCAATCCGACTTATGTTTTCATATGTCATCCACTAGAGGATACTGATCATAATCTTTTTTGCCAATTTAGTGACGAGAAACGCGGAGAAAACCTAATCAGATCTGACAGAGCAATTGGTTTCACGATTTTCGCCTCTACCGGATTGTCAAACCTGGCATGTTGATGGAGTAGTCGTTGCTCTAATATGTGCCAATGGCAAACAAAATGTCCGAATTAACGGGTTTCGCGTTTTTGTGAATTGCGACGCAGCAGTGATCAGGTTCAATCTTCGCTTCGTTTTGTCGTCTATCTACTTTCACATTGTTAATCTCCCTTCAAAACAAAACAATTTTTCACCCCACGATCATTAATCCTCTAAACGGATGTTTTGTTCGTTCTAAATATTGCGACCCACGTTGATTACGTGGAATTAACCGGCCAAACACTGATCATTCTGTAGGTGAACTTTAACGCTAACGCGATTCTTCGAGATAGTTCCATCAGGGATGACCTTCTGACTTTTTGAAAAAGACAAGGCCGAGCACCTAGATGAGGCAGGGAGAAGTGTCAAGAAGTGATCAACAGGGTCCTGAATGGGTATTGTTATCAAAATAGCGGATTCCTCTGGAAAAAATCAAGTGGCACGATAGTGACACCTCGACAAAATAGTAGAACCTCCCATTCCACTAGTAACGAGTGTCAGCCACTGGTTCATACCACACACAAATCTAATCCAAAGTCATTATCATCATCATCAATGACAGCAACATCAGTGTTGGCACTGATGCTTCACTGCCGTACAACCATAAGGTCGGTCTAGTTATATATACATATGTATATATATGATTATATTAAAAGTCCTACAGTGAAAAGAAGAGAAAAAGAGTGGGTGAGGGAGGGGACCTAGTGCTGGCCTATGTCAAGCATACTGAGGTGCCTACACCTCAAACCGCTCAATCGGACAACCTGGAAAGAAATTGACAGCACGAACGCCACTGACATAGATTAGCCGCCATTTCTTGCAACGTCCCCAGCCAAGAAAATTCTACGAAAAACTGCAGTGAGGACGAAAAGGCGGATGAGCACAGAAACAATCGAGTAAATTCTATCTCGAAAACGCTAGATGTCTGTTAAATTTTTGCCAAGCACGTGGACGCAATCTCAGATTATGCTTTGCAATCCAAGTTTTCAAACAGTTTTGGATTTATGTGCTTTCGTATACGCAGCGGTCCCATGTGTCTCACTCAGGTTGGGGCCGGGAACGTAAGCTGGCTTGTTCAGTAACCATACGCCTTTGGGACAGAAACCAGCTGCTGATAAGCCAAATTGTACTACACTGAGCATCATCCTGTTGAAATGTCAGAACATTTGACGCCATTATACGTATTAGAGTTTTATCGCTCAGGTAATTCACACGAAATGATGGAATTGTAAGTAGAGATTTAAGTGAGCTGAAGAGTTTTAGAGTCACTGACCTACATTTGGCAGATGGAATGCGAATGCCTGTCTAGTTATCTTTCGCAACCATTTGGTTTAGTTATATTCACGTGATTCCTGACCGTCCAAGTATGAAGAGGGACAAATATCGACGTACGAACTAGTGAAATTGAGCACTGTGAAGAAAAGGAAACAGGCTATCTCAGGTTTTTCGGCAGCCTTGGAATGCAGAACAACACCAAGGAGCTCCTCGCAGTCTGAGATTTCGCTAGCACACATTCACCAAAGTTGAAGCTACACACCCTCGGGTCCTTCTTGGACAGGACTAAGCGATTCAGCAAGAACCGGGGTTGTATTCTCTCCAGTTTCGCTTCCGGCTACACAAACGGGGATGTTCAACGCAAGTGGTTGACATGGATGACCCACAATGAATGCCTCAGTGGCGAAATGTGGATATGCGTGGTCGTTGTAATCCTTTCACCTCCCGTTTCCCATTTGTTCCAATTTAATACCTTTGGCGATCTGGTTTCCTACCCCCGTGTGCGAATGATCCCATCTGTCTAGGGTACTGGTGACTTCCCATACCAATCGAATGCATACTCACCTCAAGGTCATTCACCCCACTACACGAACGCATCGATTTGTATCCTTCACCTTGATAACAACATGATCGCTCTCAGCAATCGACTGGTATGATCCAATCCATCCCAAGCTCGTCTCATATGAAGCTACCATCAAGTCTGGCAGTAATACTGTGAACACTGCTCTGAATCACGTTGAGACGCGAACACGACAGAGACCAGTTCCAAGACGCTACCGGTTGCTAGTGGCCAGGTCATCGAGCAAGCCTACGGTCATACGTTCCTCCCAGCACCTACAAACATCAAATAATCTGTATGGAATTTTTGAATTCAAAAGAGCATAGTGTAACAAGATAACATAATCTGACAATCAATTGATTGCAGAAATCCTTGAAAAAGGTTAATCACCATCATCATCGACAGCATGACATCAGTGTTCAACACCGATGCTTCACTGCCGTACAACCATGACTTATTTGAAAGAGTTACTGTAAAGAAAAGAGTAAAGGTGGACGGGGGAGGGACTTAGTGCTAGCTTAACACAATCATTCCGAGGTGCCTACACCTCCAGACATTCACTCAGGCAATCTGGACAGAAACTGACAACAAGAACGCCACTGACATCGGTTGGCAGCCATATCTCGTAGTGTCTCCAACCAGGCGCATTGAGGATCACGCGGTCCCCATCCCGGGTAGCAACGATGGCACCCAAGCGTTTTGTGATCTCCTTCACACTCCTCTGCCAAGTCAAGGGTTGGCCACTTCTCTGTTTACGGCAGTCTGAAATGGGCATGGAAAACAGCACTCTCTTCGGCAAACGACGGTTCGGCATACGCAACACGGTAACCGAGACGTCGGATTACAACATCTTATTCCACTGCTATACACCACATGACGGTCAATCTTTATAATGCGAGTAATTTGCTTTGAGAACTTATCACTCAATAGTGAATCAAATGATGTGAACTGTGTAACCGAAGGACGGTGGTGCTATACCCTGTCTAGAGGCACCTTAATTGACCTGACAAGCGGTCATTCGTTACCGAATGGTACAGGATTCAACATTTAACCTATTCGTGAGACGGGCGGCACGGTGAGTCCTAGCAACGATACAGGAGGTGTAAAGCTCTCCTCCGCATAGAATAACTTCGCTTGAGGAATAGAGTTCCAAATAAAACTTTCGAATTTCCTGGACGGTTATAGGGCCATAGATTTCTAAGAGGACAGAAGGGGTTACTGCAGTTCCTTTGAAGTTTCAAGCATCACTCCGATGCGCACAATGAAGTTTTATGTAGACCATGCGTAAATAGGTCTCGTCCCAAGTGTATGGGCATTGTGAATTTGTTACAAACAATCTTTCGATCTGGGACTTTTCTAATGAACTGCATAGGAGAATGACAGAGTACAGTACACCAGTTCGATTCTTGGTTGCTTGTTAGTGACCCAAATGTTGCACACAGCCAGAACAAAGACGAGTACTTACACACCACACTGAAGTTCCCGTCCCCAGTTCAATCAATTTGGCCGTGCTTTCAAAGCTACGTACCAAATCTAGTGTATTTTCTTGCGTTAACCCAGTTACTGTCACAGGACGACGTGGCGCATACTATTGCAACACGTAAATACAAATTCCTGTTATTTTGTACTCACCGGCTACTCACTGTGCACACGCCCAATTAACTGTCACTGTAAGAAAGGACATAGTTGCATATTAGACGGAACACAATTAGTCAACCGGACTAATTTTACTGACCAGACACAGAACACAAGGATCGATCGATAAATTTAAATCACAACGTAGCCGGGGTGATTGCACACTCTTAAGAAGGACTGGGTCAATAGGGATCGGTGCGTATCTTAGTCTTACCGATACGGGCGTATAAAACCGGCAGGATAGCAACGGAAAGGTACCGCTTTTGTGACAATGGGAGGGTTTTAGGAAGTTGTGAAATTCTCAATAATGGGCATTAATTCTTTAGGTATCGAAGGCTACACATGTCCTTGCAGCAAATTCTACATAGACAAACGTACACACCATGATAAAACAGACGAGATTTTTAAGCACTTTGACCGTTGTTCTGGACAGTTTGATTGTAAGCGCGTTGCTAGGGGACGTCGTAAAGCGTAGCGACGGGTCGGTGGTCGTACGCAGCAGACAGACCAACGATAGTTGTACCTCATAATCTGGTAAGATCAATCTCAGTTCCCTCAAAGAGCAACCAACTCTGCAATGCGCTAAAATGGAATGACACATCTGCCTCCCCATCTACTTCACCGAAGCTCTTTGGTCCCTCTACGGATATTGTGGAAAGAGCAAGAAATTCGGTCATTTTGGCGCATGCAATCAACGCCAACAAGAACATCGAGAAAGCACTAGCCTTTTTATCATGGCAACAGATCGACGTAATCGTCACGAACAGGCATGGCACCATACTCTCGAGGAGATTCTACTCGTTCAAAACGAAAACGCATACAGTGGGGTGAGTAACGTTGGCATGCAACAACAACGGTAATTCGGCATAACATCTCGGGACTAAACACTGTAGAAGAAAACATCGTGGTCGGACGGGTTGAACAGACAAACTTACATACCAACTATGGTTTGTGGGTGGGTTTCAATCGTTACAGAATTCTGCAAACCAGGCCAATTGACGCTGGGTCAGTTGAGATCACACCCTATGCTAAAAGGTCAAGAACCAAATCTTTGATGGGAACCACTGGCATGGTCCATCTCATCAAAACTTGTAGAAATCAGAATCCGCAACTTTCTGGTAAGTTGACGCAATACACTACTCATAAGGTTGCTGGAAACTCTTCGACAGCCCACTACCGATTTAGCCCTTTTTGGGGCTCACCAGGTAGACGCAGCAACTGTGTGTAAAAGTCAAATTTAGTGCAACTTGGGTTCAAGTGGAACTCGGGAGCTGTGTCCACCTAATGAACCCTGAGAAGGGTGAAACCGGTCGTGTTCTGCTGGGGGAATTTTAGCAACCTCAAAAGTAGTGCAATATTCCTATACAACGTATCACGGGATCACATTCAGGTGATAAAGAACATTAAAAAACGAGAGATTCAGCGGGGTTCCAGGTGAGTCTCCCTTCAAAACCAAATTAGTATGAAAATGAATTTTTAAGTCAAACTTCGGGTCTACCGTTACATCCATCCGGTGCCTTGCTGCTATGCCACCCGGGAGAAGCACGAGGGTTGAGATACTGCCAGGTTGCCCAAGCATAGACAGGGTAAGTCGAGAGGCAGAGGCCGGGTTCGAACCACGGACCTTCCGGTCAGTAAATTCGTATTCCAACAACCTGAGCCATCTCGGGTAGTTTGACGTCACATAATTCGACCAGGCGCAGCTGATCACCAGTGTGGTCAACCAATGGTCCTAAGGGGATGTTTTCTGGTGTGCGCAGTTTGTTTTGACCAACAAGAGACATGCAGTATACAGATGGTGAGTAGCTCTCGCTACCGCCTAACCTAGTGCAATAAACATGAATTATATAGTTCACATGACATCACCGGTAGTGACGAATTGCTCAATAAAGGCCAATTGGTGACATCACATGTACAACGCACTCCTATCCCAGATAGTGAGAATTCTTTTATATGGGTCTGTTAAGGCAGAATGAACCGCAATTTGACATGATAGACAGTTTGGGATAAAGTACTTTTGCGAGTCCTGAATTTTGACTCCCATGAGCAGCTGAATTATAACTAACTGTTGTGGACCACAGTCTCCTCAAAACCTTCTTATTACCGTGAACACCGGACTGAGTAGCCACTAGATCGCCTGGTGCGCTTGGCCAAACCAGAAAGAGTAAACGAACGTGCGAACCGGCTGATCTATTGATCATTGTCGCGTACAAGCGATCAAAAGTGATACTAAGAATACAACTCAGCTGTCAAGGGCGAGTGAACAACAACCAATGAAATCTGTCTCAACGAAAAATGATGATTCCATTGGCAGTTATGTCATCCCGTTACGTTTGGAGCTGGTTCTCCCAATACTCACCTATGTTTTTCCAACTGAAATCATCGACTCAAGGACCGGAGGTTTAGCAACTCGTCACCAATGTCAAATTTGGCTTGCAAACCTAAACAAAAGGCAAATTAACCCAACGTTGAAGCGAATAACTATGTGAACGGGGCTCCCGGATCAGTAAGAAAAAGAGCTCAACACGAGCCAGTAGACGTCACTGACTGCTAGTGCAAACGCTGTCACAGGTATAAACAACTGTTTCATGAAGAAACCTGCTTTTTGCAGAGTCTGAGTTGAGTTTGACGGCTCCCTGAATGTGATTTCAGATTGGTCTTCGCTTCTGTTTTGCAGTAAACTGCAATACTAGGTGGGTGGAACTTCAAGGGGACAGTGATGAGTGAATTCGAAAATCCGTAGGAGCTCTAGTAACGGGCAATTTGGGCAAAATTGCTGTGGACGCACACGAGAAGCACAAGACACCGGTTAGAGTAAGTAACTTGGGACCGGAATTCACATTTCTTTGACCGCATGAGAACACCCGGGATCTCTGATGGATCGAATCATGGCTATTCGTACACGGCGCTAAGCGACAATACTCTCGGTAATGCAGCTTATTATCAGCCTCAGTAGGAACTCGGTAATGGACAAAATTCATGAAGTAAACCAATGGTCGCGAACTATCAAAGAGCGCGCCATAATTTTCAGATATTGCAGCCGGGACGTTCGTTCGTCACCCACTAGATAGACAATAGTTCATCTGTTCCCAATGCCTTCTGGGTACACGTGACACCTAAAAAAGCAAACCACAAGCACGTTCGAAATCAGCTTGGAATCTGGAATTGTGCAGTTCATCTAGGGACAGCACATAAAGCAGTTGGTTGGCCACTTACGAATGAGACCCCGGACTAGTGACTCTATTAGTGCGCAGGTTATGGTAGCCATATTATTCAGGTACATGCACTAATAAGTTTGTACTATGGTGAGGTGCAACACGTAGAAAAATCAATGCAATGCGAGATGTGGAGCAAGTCAAAAGAGGAACTTATTGTTTGTGAGAGTCCCTTGGTAAAAGTCCGGACGGCGGGAAAGTGATCTCTCCGCAGTATAGTCGCTACACGGAGATCATTAGCCGCACAATGCTTTGAGCTGCAAAACCTTTGCGAGTGGAATAAAACCCTCTACGCCAAAATGTTGCTCAAACCAAAAACCATTATAATCTACGTTCATACTTTTTCCAGTTCACCGAATTTCATTGTCCACTGAAGCAATCGTACCTCTGGCGGAAAAAGTCTGTTGGAATACTTTCCTAGCATCTCTGATACCCCGGGATGCCGGTACTCTGAACTCAATTGCCTATCTCTTTTGGTCCAACATGGACACGTCATAGCTTCCGAAAATTCTCAATTTCATTGTGCGAATAGTGAGCGACGCTACACGTGTTCCATAGTTGTCCGTGGACTTGTGGAGAGTGGTTGACTTCCTGCTCCCTGCGCGCGCTCGAGTCTTGTGTGTTGACTGTGTTCGGTTTTCCTATAAGTAGGCACATCTGCGTGTATGTGGGAATGTCAGCACATGAGTTGTTGCTACGCATACTAGACGGTACAAACAGTCATTGTCAGATGAGTCACCTTTGCGTTACGTGTTTGTGAGTAGCAAAAAAGACGAGTCTCGTGATCTAGTGAGTGACTTTGAGCTGAACAGTCAAGTATGTAGGTGAAGGGATAGCTACAACTCAGGTCCGGAGATGAGTAGAGGACTGAATGAAAAAATCGGTGACTGGCTTGTAGGGGGTCCTACCATTCACACAACAGATCTTGGGATCAAGTTAACAAAATGCGGTTACCAGACTCAGTCTACTAACAAACTACTGAAGTTCGTAGCCAATACTTACAACAATATGGTCGGCATCCACAGTCGGTTCTCTTAGTCCGATGCTCCTGTCGGTTAAAACATACTTTAGTATATTATGTATATTAGAAAGAATTAGGGGGAGATAGGTCAGGTGGTCAGGACGCGAAATTACTGACCGGGAGGTCCGTAGTTCGAACCCGACCTCCGTCTCTAGACATCCCCTGTCTCCACTTGGGAGAACTGTCAGTATTCGAGTCCTCGTGCTTCCTCTGCGTGGCATGGCAGCTAAGCGATACAGCAAGAAATAATCTGTGAATGTCGTAATTATTGGAGAGCGCGAAATACTGAAGAATTTAGCCAGAAAACCACTGATAGTACGGAGTAAAAAACACACTTGGGTCGCCATGCCCATCGTATTGCAAGATGTAAACAGTTAGCTGGATCCGCTGTGGAACGCTAAGGGTATCGGAGAGGATCAAAGGTAAATCCCTCGCTGTTGAGCAAATTGACTGCTCATTCCATTAGCAGCGAAGCGTCACTGAATCTCTGAAGAATGCAAATCATTTTGAAAGCAGCCGCAGTCCATTCGAGAAGTGGACATTGGCTAGACTGCTCATTCCATTAGCAGCGAAGCGTCACTGAATCTCTGAAGAATGCAAATCATTTTGAAAGCAGCCGCAGTCCATTCGAGAAGTGGCATTAACATTGGCTAAAAGCAGACGGTATACCTTCACGGCCAGCTGTTGATTTGAAGCTCTGTGGATCCAAGTCCGGTCTAATCTTGGCTTTCGTGCTTCCTCTAGTTCATCTGTTGGCTATGGACGAATAGGCGGCTGAAAGCACCTTGAGGAAAATGGCTTTTCTACGTCCAGGTGCCCTGTGGCTAAATACGATCGAGGAGTTAGCAGATCATTGCGCTAGGATGGCGGTAGTCGGGGAATTAAGCTGATTAATGGCACGGCGAATGCACCAAAACGACCGATCCGTCAAACTCGATGAGCACACGGAGATAAGCGCACAAACAGAACCACGCCCGCAGAGCAATATACATTTAATCGTGTACAAAATATAATCTTCATATACATCTTTTTTCGTTAAAAAATAGGCTAAAGTGGGAGAATAGCTGACTAGGTAAGGATGATTAAACACAAGTAGATGATTTGTAAGGTCTTGAGAGAAACATTAACGCATTAGAGGTTTGAAAGTGCTGAGTGCTTCCATTAATAGTGCTGGATATTGCGACGGATTGAGATAGGAAAGTTTCTCCGCAATTTGGGATAGACTCTGTCGAATAAACTGTTCGGCGCCGGATTCCGGTGACTGCTCTACAGTCGTTGTTGGTTCAGTAGGCACATCGCTATCGCCATGCTGCGAGATGGAGAGCGGGTCCTTGGTGGCGTTCTTTGACTGATCCTGCAAAAAAGTAAAACCAAGATATTGTGTAGATGTAAGACACTACTGAGAAGGTTGTTGGAAACCCTTCGGCAGCCCACAACTGGTATCGCCCTTTTGGGGGCTCATGAGTTAGGCACAGCCCCGGAGTTTTCCTCAGTCTTATGTTCTACTTGAAATAAAATTGGACAGGCCATCATGAACTATCATCAACGGAAGGTTCAGCTGGATTCGGCTGAGTTTCCTGTGAAAACATCGAATTCGTGTGCAAATGACAGTATTTGTTGAAATTAGGATACTCTAGAAACACAGAGCATTGATGGTGTTGTGGACCACAGTCCCCTTAATGCCTTCTTATTACCGTGAACCGCGGTCTGGATAGCCGATTGATACCCTGGTGCGCTTAGCCAAACCAGAAAAAGTCAACGAAAGTGCGAACCGGCTGATCCATTGATCACTGTCGCGTACAAGCGGGTCAAAAAAGTGATACTAAGAATACAACTCATCTGTCAAGGACGAGTGAACAACAACCAATGAAATCTGTCTCAACGAAAAGCGGTTATTCCATTGGCA